TCTCGGTTGCTATCATGCTTCTGTAAATTGGCTTCAAAAATTAGTTGACTTGACCTTCTGGTACTCAATTTTAGGGTTTTTAAGCGCTAAAGGGATTGAAATGATTTTGTTTGGCAATGCACATTTACTTTAGATGTAGTAAGCCATACGATTTTTGCTTATAAATTGCTAGTATGGCTCATCTAAAAAACCAGTAATTGCTAGCATACCAATTATGTGTGAAAAACATAATTAATTAAGAGAGAACTATGTAATTATGTATACGAACCTGGTAAGTATACACATTACTAATTATTGTTACTAATTCCATTCATCTAGTAAGAACGTCGGATAGAATAACAAATCTTACAAAGCATACCACAATTATTTCGAAAGCATACCAGAAACCTCCTAATGCATATCATAAATTGACTAAAACATACCAGAAACACGGTAAAACAAACCATAAATATTTCTAAAGCACACCAGAAACCCCCTAATACAAACCACAAACACGGTGAAGCAAACCAAAAACGTCCTAATGCAGACCACAAATATATTAAAACAAACCAGAAATCTCGCAAAGCAAACCACAAAAGTTTCGAAAGCACACCAGAAACTTCTTAATGCAAACCAGAAACCTCCTAATGCATACCACAAATCTCCTAAAACAAACCACAAACCTCACAAAGCAAACCACAACATTTGCGAAAGCACACCAAAAACCTCCTAATGCAAACCACAAACATAGTAAATCAAACCACAAAAAAGCAAACCATAAACGTCCTAATGCAAACCACAAATATATTGAAGCAAACCAGAAACCCCTCAATGCAAACCACAAAAATTTTGAAAGCCAACCAGAAACTTCTCAATGCAAACCACAAACACAATAAAGCAAACCATAAATGGCAAAAAATATATGAGAAACCAAACCATAAATCTCACAATGCTAACCATAACATCCGGTGATCGTTGACCGTTGACCGGTCAACGAAGACCGTTGACCGAACTCCGGTGACCGTCAGTGAGCAGATTCCGACGCCGATAGGCATATTCCGGCCCCGATGACTAGATTCCGACGCCGGTAAGCATATTCCGACGCCGGTATGCATATTCCGGTGACAAAAAGCATATTTCGGTGACCGACGACCATTTTCCGGCGACCGGTGGCAGAATTCTGACGACCAAATTTTTGGGCAGAAAATAAAAAAAATATTTTTTTTATTTTTTTATTTAAATAGATTTTTCATAATGACAAGTATACCCCTGCTTTGATTTTACACTAGGTTAACTCATCTAATAAAAGTCATCACAATTCTAACTTCCTATTGGTTGGGGACTAGTGTTGTTACAATAACAACACAATGGGTGTTGTTATAGTAACCGGTCCCGCCTCAGACGATCCAAAGTTTGCGTGCTTGCTAAGCACTTTGGACTCTCTTCCATCTTCTTTTTTCCTTTGTCCCTTTCCTTCTTCTTTTTCTACCAAAAAATTGTATTATTGTACCTTATTATTTGTAAGTCATTAGAAAGTGTACAAGCTCCGATTAGAAAGTGTACAAAACATATCACAAAAGTAAACAAATTGATATTACAAAATATATACAAATTAAAACATAAAAGTAAACAAATCAAAACGACAATATGTACAAGAAAAAATACTAATAGTAACACTACTAATGTATAAAGGCTATCTTTGGCATAAGTTATTCCACCAGCGGACGAAGTCTTGTTCTCGGTCTCTGACTCGTCCTGAATATCAAAACAAAATCCCACCTAGTTAATGCCCAAGTATAAACCTTAGATGGGTGCAATATAGGGCAAGTATGTTTAAATATCAACTCAGGCTGGTCCATGTTCCCCTACTTCAATTGTTTGAAACATTATCTAGCAGATTGATTTTTGGTTGAAAACTATAAGGATTATATTAAAACAAAGCAAAGGTAAATGGTATGAAAGCTCTAGATGAGAAGGATTACTCGGGAGTTGTTTCCCCCTAACTACTACCATAGCTCGTGGACTCGAATGGGTCGTTATGGGCGAGGAAATCGTAAACCGCTAGGAAGTGCAACTATGGTCGAAGACCACACTCTCAATTTCCAAACCAATGGATACATTATAGGCTACTAGAGTAGCCCTCTTGGTTAAGGGAATTGATGGTTTACTTACCTTCTTCCTCAAATCGATGGTTGGACGGCTTAATCATGATTAACCTAGTCGTTTAATTCAAGATAGAGGTTTGCCCTACATTAACCTAGGTAGGTGGCTTGAAAAGCCCAAGGAATCCCATCTCAATTGAGCCTCTTTGGAAAGGGGGGTTTCCCCTCTAACCTAGGTTAGAATGGCCAATTAGATTGTCAAGCACAAACATGCACAATCATCATGAAAAATACCTCAATCATTAAATTAAACAACACTCATAAACAATCTTTCAATTAACACAACAACTACGGGGTCGTTTGGTTTTGGTGATAGTTTAGCTAGGATTGTTACAATGTCTGTATTGTTAACAATGCATTGTTTTTTTTACTTTTGTTCTTCAACAATGCAACCATTTTTCTGTTGATTTGATGGAAAAAATCACTCATATTGAGTGATATTACTATCTCAAGCAAATCTTGAGATTGTTGGGAATGTTTAAAGGAGATTGTTTACATGTTATTTTGTTCCAATTATGTCCCTACACATTTATTTATATACCCATAATACCTTTATGAAATTGTTTATCTAATCATCTCTCACATTTTGCCGGGAACACTTCCCTCAACTTTTTTCGTTCCACCCGCCCAAAGCTATTCGCCTTCCACCCCCAATTTTTAGGGTCTCTACCTAGAAATTCCACCGCCCGCAAACACCCAAAAACCCCCCAATTCCAATTTGCTCAAACGTTGCGATGGAAGCTCAATTTCAGCTTTACTAAGCGCCACCAAAACTCAATCACGCGGTCGTTTGAGAAATAATCCGACCTCCTCGGCCTCCCCCATCCGCGATCGCTATAACATCTTCCCCTGTTTATACCGACCTAGCTACCGATAGCCTCGTAGCGCCGCCTGTCCAGTCAGTGCAATTAGTGTCAGCATCGTCAAAATTGGGAATGAAGAACTCATACAGGTTGCTGCTACTAGAGAGTTAATTGGTATTTTGTTTTGGCCATGGAAAGGTGTCGTATGCAGAGGAGGAAGGCAGCCGCAGTCACAATATTAGCATATTTCGAGTTAGTGTTTAACCTTGTTAAGTTGATTATTCAGTATTATAAGGAACTGGAATCTGAAGTTGTTCAAGTAACAGAACATGTTACAGCGTGGGAGACACCCATGAAACGACTAGAAGATAGGAATTCATTCATGGCATGTATCACTTCCCATGGTGACATATCTAGCACTATTTTTATTAGAATGAACTGTAGGTCCTTTAAAACTCTATGTACTCTTCTTAGAGATCGGGGGGCCTTAGGTGTAGTTGGAACATGGGCATAGATGAGATGGTGGTCATCTTTTTATACACCATAGCGCATAATGAAAAGAATCGAGTTCTGCAAAAAACCTTTCGACGTTCAGGGGAAACCATTAGTAGGGTTATCAAACTTGTCCTTAACTCAGTCTTGAAACATCACCCTATTCTACTTCGTAAGCCAAAGCCGGTTCTTGAGAATTCAAAAGATCCAAGGTGGAAGCACTTCAAGGTAAATTTGTTTACCACATGATGTTTTGCTTGAAGTTTCATACCGTATTACTTATATATGTTCATTCATTTTGTAGAATTGCCTTGGTTCTCTTGATGGAACCATAATAGATGTATGGACAACCAAAGAGAAAAAAGAAAGATATCGGACGCGTAAGGGAACAATTGGTATGAATGTGTTGGGAGTTTGCAATCAAGACCTAGAGTTCATTTATGTCTTGTCAGGATGGGAAGGGTCGGCTCATGATGGAAGAGTTCTAAGAGATGCTCTTATTAGGCCAAATGGATTGAAGGTTCCTAGAGGTAAACATTAAAACACGGTAGGTACAGTTGCTGCAATTTGTATAAAATATAATGAAGGTGCTAGTTTCAGACTTTGTTGGTTGTTACCAAAAACTATTTGACGGTAGCATATATTGTTGTTAGTTTAAATGAGTGGAGTGGGAATAGACCAAAAAGTCCCGACGAGATCTTTAATATGAGACATGCAACGGCGAGAAATATTATAGAGCGAGTATTTGTTATATTGAAGATGCGGTGGGCTATTTTGAGAAACAAGACATGGTTTTCCACTCATATGGTGGCAAAAATCGTGAATGCTTGTTGTCTACTTCATAATTTTATACGAGGAGAGGTGGGTGCTGATGTCTTTGAGAGGGTGTACTTCAATAAAGATCCATCTACTGAACCTGACCTTGAGGATGAAGACCTAATAATGCATATTCATCCAACACCGGAGTGGACTCAATTTAGGCAGCAATTGGCTCAAGATATGTGGGCTACTAGAACCTGGTTTGCTAACTAAATATGTGTAAAGTATAACAAACACATACCAATTTTTCTTTTGGTTATTGGTTGCCTTGAACTTTTGGGATGGAGTAATCCAGGTAGGGTGGCTATATTGAATCAAGCAGACATTCAATAGGGTGAGTGGTTAGACAGAGGAGAGTTTGGTTTGTGTTTGTTGTAGCTTATTAATTAACAAAGGCTTACCTTCTAATTAAGTGGAGTAGAGACAAAAGGTAGTTTGTTGGTTCAAGTATTTATTAGGGTAGGTGTTATTTATTTATTAGACGTGTTCCTCTCTGTATTTATATATGCTCAAGTAATCTTCACAAGTGCTGTAGAAGAATTGAGTACAAGCTGTCCAGGTAAAAAGTTATCTCTCGATTTTTTTATCCTTGATGGTGTTTTTGTAAGTTTTGTTTCAAGTTCAGTTTTTGCTTTTCAGTTTGAACCATGGCTGACGTTGAAATGTTTGAGGGATCTGCTGTTGATAAGAAAAAAGGGAGTATAATAAATGGACAGAGAAGGAAGATGAAGTGTTCATTGAAAGTATGCTACGTTTGCTCGAGACAAAGGAAGTGGAATGCGTAAATTTAAAAAATGGAGGCTTGAAGAAACTCGAGGCTTTGATACTGAAGATGCTTCCAGGCCTTACAAAAAATGTGAAGTCAAGGCATTGCTGGTTCAAGGGCAAGTATTCTGCCATATGCGATATAAAAAATGGGGCCTTTAGTGGATTCAGGTGGGATGAGGTCAAGCAAACTGTGGTGGAAGATGATGATGTATATTCAACATGGATTAAGGTATTTCATGATTTTTAAATGATGTTTTCTACTATAGGCTGTGTTTATTTTTTTTGCTGGTTTTTGTATTGGTGGTAGAGTGTGTGAACTTAGACTTTTTTCATGGCTGTTTACTTGAGATTTATTAGAATAACCCTGCCTTCTCTGGCCTCAAGAAGCCATTCCTGTAATACGACCAACTATCAATTATATTTGGTAAGGATAGAGCTATGGGTGGAGAAGCAAGTAGCATCAACACGGAGTATGCTACCCATAAGGTGGACTCGCCTGCTGCCATTGATGTGGATTCTGTAGCTAGCATTGACTTGGAGACCCTCAATGATGATGAAACCAACCAACGTGTCTTGGAGAAAATCATAAATGAAGGTGTTGAACACAGGACCTTCATCGATCCCCCCAAATCTGGTCCTGCCAAGCCATCCAACTCATTGGGAAGTAACAAGCGTTCAAGGAATGATAAGAAAGAATCAGCTGGTACCATTGTGGCTTCTAAGATATCGAAACTGCAACCTCTCATGGAGAAAGCTACCATCAACATTGAAAAGATGGCTAATAGTTTTTGTCTTGAAGATGAACTAACTATCAGGAGGGGTCACTTGTACGAGGAGCTGTCAAAGGTGAAAGGATTATCAAGTGAGCAATGCATTTCAGCAGCGATGCTTCTCATTAAGGATGATCGAATTGCACAATTGTACTATCAGCTCCCAATAGAAGATGAGAAATTTCATTTTCTCCTTCGTATCATCAACTAAAAGGTGTTGTCCTCAACTACCAGTAGCAAGATTAGTGTAACTTGAATGACTGGAGAACTAGTTTGTATTATAGATCGAAGGATGGTGAAGTTATTATGGTAGGTTTAGGTAGTTGACTACTAAGTCTCGTTATTATGGTAGGTTTAGGTGAAATATTTTGCTTATCTTTTATTATTGGTGGGAGAATTGTGAAGTCCTTTATTATGTTTCGTGGGACTACAAGGAAGTATATTTTGTAATAGCCAATATATGGCTATGTTCCCTGTTGAATTGTCTTATTTCCACGGTTGATGACAGTATTGGCCTGATTGTGGCTTTGTTTACCAAAATGATGTATTAACAGGGACTCTTTGTTGCTGGTATTTATATATGATCAAATATCTAGTAAGTAGTAGTACTAGAAAGCCATTTCCCTGTTTTTGGTAATTCATTTATTCAGGCTTATGCTCTCTGGGCATGCTCTTTTGCTCCTATTGCTAGCATATAATTTAGGATTTGTGTTGTCTCAATGAAAAGACCAGAAAGATGTTATATTGGTGATTGAAGAATATGTATCATGATAAATGTATGGTTCTCCTTCAGTGTTTTCTGATTTTGTAATGGTGTCATTTATTACTACAAACTATTGTAACAATTTACTCTTAGTGATAACCCATAAAAAGAAGGGTAAAAGTGATATTTAACACAAAAATGAATATAACCTTTTGAATGTTAAAATAACTATCGCCAAAACCAAACAAGGTAAATTACATTGCTTCATTTTTCTTAATTGCATGTATATTACAATGCATGCATTGATCACAATGAATGCATTGAAGTATCATCAAAACCAAACGACCCCTACATGGAAAGTAGTTAGTGTTTCCCAACACCCAAGTGAAAAATGAAACTACTCCATGCTAGAAAGGGGAAGAACACAAAAGAAAGAAGTAGAAACCATCATGGTGATGCCTTCACTCTCCTTTGATCTTGTGTTGATCTTCTCTTGAGGAGATTCTTCCCAATTCACCACTTGGAGCAAACCCTAGTCTCCCTTCTTCTTTGGTTCGTCCTTTCTCTCTATAAAATTTGAAGAAGAAGATGCTTTCTCACACTTGGGCTCCCCCCCCCCTCTCTTCCTTTCAGCTCACCTTATATACTAGGATCGGACTCAGTTCATGGCTTCAGTTCACGGTCGTGAACTCCTCAATGCGTCCGTGAACTCGGAGTGTTGTGTCGAAACGCACCGCTTCACTCACTTGAGTTCACAGTTTGCACTGAAAGTTCAAGGTCTTGGTGACCATGAAATTACTCTGCGTCAGTAACCTCTAAAACCGCCCTGGACGCTTCGCGGTTCATGATTTATGGTTTTAGTTCATGGCCTTAGGAGACCGTAAACTCCAATGGGAAACCGTGAACATGGCCTAAATCACTCTCTTTGTCCAATCTTTCCTCATTTTCTTCCAACTTTCGACTCCTTGGCTGGTTTCACCTGTTGAATCCTGAAACACGAGAAACCTAGCGTAAAACCACCCTTTTAGTAGCACAAATGCCATAAACTCCCAAGAGAAATGGGGATAAAATGTGCACAATTAGGCCCGAATCACTCCCCCACACTTAGACGTTTGGTTGTCCCCAAGCAAACCATTTCACACAAGGTAATATCTCAAAATACTTTGGGGACAACTCAAAGGGCACCGAGTGGGAATTCTCAATGGCTATTGGCAATTAACACAAGGACCGTTGCAAGCAATACCGACATCCATCACAAACGACATTCGAGGCTACTAGAACGGGCAAATGAAAAGTTCCCACCTTGTTCATGAATCAATGCAAGTTTCAACAAGATCAGTAATCAACGACAATTAGCCATGCATAGAGTTCAAGTCCAAGGAACAAACGGATGGGAAACAAATGTCTTCACCGGGGTATGATATGACATGCAAAACAAGAATGAATCACTCACTCTCTTGACCAGTGGGGTTGGGACCTTTTGGTGCAAAGAATGTGCAAAATCATCAACACTCAACCCTATCGTCTCAACACCACGGCAATAACCTCTATATCCTAGAGTTCACGGAATGGTTGTCACCACTAGCTTGTCCGGAGGTCTTAGATGTTGTGGCAAACACATCATGAAGTCCTACATCTTCACCCTAAAACCGAAGGTTCTATGGTTTCGACTAAGAACCTTCCTTACAAACAATGCCCATTAGCATCGGCCTAAAACCTCGCTTCTCCCTTCCCAACTATCACCCATCATGAACTTCATTTAAGCGCTCTTCCTCGGTCTACTCTTGCTATCACATTTCACCTTGGTAGTAAAGGAGTTCTGAGACAATGTATAGGTTTTAATGGCTTCAGTGCCAATAAACCTCTCATAGAGCATACTCTTTGATTCCTTGTGGCACTCTCTACTTTATTTACCCCATTTTATTACCTCTTTTTCATTTCTCTATCTTTTTGTTTCTTTCTACTTTTCTTTTCTTTCTACTTTTCTTTTCTTTTCTTTTCTTTTTGAGCGGGTACTAGAGTGTTAAACATTTGTCACACTACTTTCAACGATCAATGCTTTTTTTTAAGAACTCACTCCAACACTACTCTTCCTTTCACTTTCATTCCTAGCAAGAACCGCACAAAATCCTCCTCTGTAGAACCTCAATGGAACTCAAAAGCAAGAGCTCTGGGACACAAGGACGACACACGTATAGACAAAATGAAAGGATGGGGGGTCGTTCTATCAATCACCAATAAGCTCACAAGCAAAAAGCTCCTAACAAGAGAACGACCCCCAAAGTCACAAGGCTCAAAGGGGTTGACAAGCGGATAAATCATTTCGGGGCAATCAACATTTGGGCGTGGACGAATCCTATGCCTCCATCATACTCACTAGTGACAACTATGATGTTACTGGCCATGGTAAGAGGGATCTAAGCACAAAAGAAGAAAACGATCGGTTCAGAACTCACGGAAAAAATCCAGAAATAGCACTGTTAATTTTTTTTTTACAAAAATAGTACCCAAACAAGACAAATTCCAAAAGTAGCACCCTTCTCCATAAACCGCCACTGGGAGGGGGGGTTCACACAAAAATTGCGCACGAAAGGCACGGTTTGTGCTAGGACGGGTGAGGAGTCGCATTTGCTGGCTGCGATTTGTTAAACCGTCCGATCGAAACGAGATCCAACGGTGGAACGCATGCCAAGGGAGCGATCCGTGTCATGAATCAGGAACCACGCGCCCAAGATGCGGTCTTCGTCCTCGATAAATTCCAACCGTGTCCCGAGGGAGCGGTTTCTGTTGGGGCAAATTGACAATATCGCCCCTGAAGGGGGCGGTTCGAGTGCTATATAAACACCCTCTCCCCCTTCCATTTTCTTCACACCACAACCCATTCTTCCCTCTCTCTCTAAAATTATCTCTCAATCTATCGCCCCCCCCCCCCCACCCCAAAAAAAAATCCTAGGAAATAGTGTTCTATTGGTTGCGGGTAAGTCCGATCTGCCATCAGAAAACAATTTTTTGGGGTTTCCTTCAAAATCCGTGATTGATTCTATTGGTTGCGGGTAAGTTCGACTTATTAAAAAAATGAATGATTGGTTCAAAGAGGAGGGTGTTTTCCAAGATGACTATCAAGCGGTACGTATTCATTTTACCAATTTTTTGTTGTTATAATTTTTAAAATTAATCTATATACTAACTAATTATGCATATGTTATTCTCTCGTAGGTTGGGGACAACGTCGATATATACAACCAACGATATTATATCGAGCAAGGACCGATTGATTCAAGCGTGTTGTACGACCAACCTAACCATCGTTCAAGAGATGTTTGGAACGATCACCAGGTACATACATGGATTAGTCTGCTTAGTCATTTTTTTATTTGGCTTATGTACTTGGTGGTTTATAAATTAAACTTGATAATTTTTAATTGTATTAATTATTTTCAATGGTTTGGTCTAATACAATGCGCCATTTACCTAGACTCTTTATGAAGAGATGCATGCCTAAGGAAATGGGGTTTTAAGCGATTATGACGATCCTCCCATTTCCTGGAAAAATTGGGTTTTAAGCGATCCTCGGATCCCCCTTTTTCTGTCAAAAAGGCTGCATTTCTAAGAAGATGTATACCTCTTCTAAGAGTCTAACGAGTGTTGCATTGTATTCAATTAAGTTATTGAAAACAACCAATACGATTTACACAATATTGTCATGGATTTAATGTGTATGTTTTGAAATATTTATTTAAATTATTTGTTATAAAAGATTACTTTTTGTTATAATTATTATTGTTTATTTAAACTGTTTATTACTGTTTTCAATGTGCATTGTCCTTCGATTAAATTATTGTTTATTTAAACTATTTGTTATAATAAATTTATAATTGTTTATTATAGTATACTTATGGGGATAGTTAAATTTTTCTCTAGGATGCATAACATGCAATCCGCTATAGGGGTACGACCAATGTGCTCGCATATAACGACGTAATCTTGCCCTATTTCAAATGGGCAAGGTTGGAGTCGATTAGGCCCTTCTATGGGATAAAGATCGAACGTCAACTCATCACCGTATTGGTGGAGAGATGGCGAAAGGAGACACATTGCTTCAGTTTTCGTGAAGGAGAGTGCACCATCACACTAAAGGATGTCTCCATCCTAACTCATCTGCCCATCGACGGCAATGCGGTATGTGTAAGCGGTCGTGCACCACCAGATGTTGGTGGGATGACCGATTGGCAGCATTTTATCTACAGAGTTTTGGGCCTCCGAGTGCCAGTCAAGGAAAGCGTTGATGCGGAAGATCGCAATGCACCATTGAGGAAGCGTCAAGTATCAATCACTTAGTTGACTAGGGATATCAGGAACCGACCCGACCCAACACAAGGTGGGATCCCCTTAACCGAGGAAAGTTCAGAGTTTGAGAAGGAAAGATATGCTTGTGTCTATCTCATAGGTATGATCGGAGGAGTATTCTTCCTCAAGAAATCCAAAAATTTAATTAGCTATGGGTGGCTGGGGATCCTCCTTGGTGATTGGGATGCGATGGGGAATTTGAGCTGGGCATCCGCTTGCCTAGCTCATATCTCCCACCATTTATGTAATGCATCTCTCAAAGCCGCGAAGGAGGTTGGCAGAGCAATGTTCATTGTCCAGTTTTGGGCATGGCAGCATCTGCCATGGATTGCACCGGTCCAACCTCTCGACAAGGATTGGGGTCCCAATCATCCCCTACGACTCGAAGCTTATGGTTGGTGGTAAACTACTCATACCCACTCATGCTTTCCATAACCCATTAGTGAGTTATTTGATTATAACATTTTATTATTGTCCTTATTAATAAGGTGGGTTGGAGCCACAACATGCGACAACCTTTCCGATCACAAGTTGACAGAGTATCGTAGGAGGCTAAAGAGACTTTGCGAAGGAGAGGTAACTATAATAATTCAACACTTCTTCACTTGTTATTAACGACATGTATGTTACAACTACATTTAACTTTATGTCATCATAACCTTTGTAGATCATATACGCTCCTTATCCTGAGAACATCGTTAACTGTCATTTGAAACAATTCCCTAGGCATGAAAATCAATGGTGCGCGAGAGTCCCTCTCATTTGTCACCATATTATGGAGTGGCATCTGATCGATCGATGCTTATGACAATTTGGTCGGGAGCAATGCATGCCTCTGGAAGTCCCCGGAAGTCAACAGGCTTTCCACCACCGAGATGGTCGCCAAGGAGCTGATGATTGGCCTGAGAAGTTGAATAAATTCATGTGTGAGTGTTAACCGCACGGGATATGACCCAATATCCAACTCTCTTGTTGTTGATGGCATGGACCCTAGCCTTGCGTCCCTCGTGTTGATTTCGACGTCTAACAATGAGCTTGTTCGCGTTGGAATTAGTTGTACGCTATTCAAAACTCCGAGTCATTGCTTCAGCCTCAATAGCATGTCGCACCTCTTTCTTCGAACCAAATTGTTGGCCCTTCGTAAACCTAGTGAGTGGACCCCATAATTGCACCTCTGGCGACTCCATGTCAGCGTCGACATACCAATTCTCATTTGGAATGTGACTGTAGTACAAGATAGGTACACGGTCACGAGACACCTCATCATCATTTGAGTCTGACTCTGGGTCTGAATCATAAGCACCTTCAAGAGGGTCGGAGCTATCTGCACTGAGATTGCCTTCTTCTTCTTCTTCTTCTTCTTCTTCTTCTTCTTCTTCTTCTTCTTCTTCTTCTTCTTCTTCTTCGTCGTAGGAGGGTTTATTAACTGGTGCTGGCAGGACATCTTCCATCTGATCCAGATCATGAAATGCACCTTCATTAGCTCCGTAATGGTAGTTGTGAAAACTACCACCGCCTGAATGGAAGTTGTACTCGGGTTGGTACTGGTAGCCTTCTTCTTGGTGATCATGGTACCGTTGGATTTCTTCTTCATACGATGGGAATGATTGATGATGATATTCACCACCTTCTTGGTACTCATGGTAAGAATGAGGATCATGATAACCTTGATAAGGATGATCTTCATATATTCCATCTCCACCAAGGTAACCAGATGTTTGGCCATATCCAGAATGACATCCACCGCCTTTGACCGCAGGTGGATGGCAGGTGTAAACGAACATCTCTGCTTTAGAAACATTATTGGCGTTCAAAAAATTCAAGCATGGCATCTACTTCGGCCTGAGTGGTTATGAGGAATTCCTCATGCCACAACGACCCGCCATGTCTGTTTGGATATCGATACACCATACGATCCACTCTCCTCGTGCCATCCATGCAAGTAACCTCAATACACATTTTATGGAGCTCTTCAAGGTTCGGTCTCTTAGCGACCTTCACTTTATGAAATTTACCATCGACGTAACGTACCCCCTTTTGGGTCTCTTCTGTATAACCATTCCATTGTAACCCAAGCGTGAACTGTCGGAATGTCAACTGCAATAAAACCATAAATTAGTTAATATCATAAAAATCACAAATCAAAACAAAAAGTTATACAAAATAAACTTACGAAGTAAGCTTAATTGCAAAAAACCCTAAACGCATTAGGGTGCACAATAGTTAATTGAAGAAGAATAGGGAGATGTGTGAAGAGCTGAGGTTTTCGGGGCTGCCTTTTATAGGCAATATCATCACTGAAACCGCGGGTGGAGGTCATGGTTTACGTGGCGGCAACACAAACCGCCCCCCAAAGGAGCGGTTCTACATGAGCACCTAAAACCGCCCCTTGACAGTGCAGTTTCTGTTAGGGCAGCTGCAAAACTGCTTGTTGAGGAAGCAGTTTACTTAGGGAAATAAAACATCCACATCATAAAGCGGTTTGTGCAAGAACCTCCCCTCTCAATGGCGGTTTATGGAGAAGGGTGCTACTTTTGGAATTTGTCTTGTTTGGGTGTTATTTTTGTAATTTTTATTTAACAATGATATTTCTGGATTTTTTTCCAAAACTCACATGGCTACTGATGACTCGATATTTGCACATGTTTTCCCCTTTGTTTCTTGATCGTTTGAGCTTTAATTATCACGTCTTTGGCCTATTGTACGCTAGGTTGTGTTCCTTTGTCACATTTCAGGTCCTAGCACATAAAGTGAAGCATAGGCGCAAGTTGCAAGTCAATCAGAGATCAATTGGCGATTAGGGAGAATAAACTCAGGCATGACCTGAAGAAGAATGGATTTATACCTCACTTTATGGACAAATAATCATGCAAGCTTGTCATTAAAAGAAAGAGGATGAGACTACGAGCGTCTGGGATCAAACGGCGACTGATTCGGAGTCCGTACGAGGGAGAAACGAAGCATTGAATATAGGGGAACAGGTTCGGCAGTAAAAACACGGGCGCGCCTAAATCAAAACACGGCCGTGCCCATATTTAGGCACGACCGTGTTTTGGCCGACGCGCGCGGGCGTGTTTTTAACACAGGGCAAAGCACGGGCGGGCTGGAGCAAAGCACGGCCGTGCCCTCGACCGTGTTTTGCCCGGTGATGCCCTTTTAGGCAGATTTCAGCCAAAACAGAAGGGGATTCGAGTTTTAGAGAGACAAAGCGATTCCTAGAGAGAGAAAGCGACGAACAAGAGTTCCCAAGTGCCCTAGCTTGATCTTCATCACCATCGAAGCTTGGCTTGAGCTTGGACAAGTGCCGATCAACGTCCAGGAGCAGGAATAATTCCTTCACAGTATGAATTCCGCGTCTGATTCTGCTTTTGCTTCTTTCTCCATCGAGTAGTTCTCCCATTCATCTGGGTATGGAGAACCCTAGATTTGTATGTTAGGTTTGATTGTATGAACCCAAGTACTGATTCTATGATTTAATTATATTCAATTGAGGTTTGAATGATTGAATGGCATGAATCCTAATCAAATTCCTGTTGTTTCTGCTTTAACCTAGAATGAGAATATCTGCCTAGGTTGATAGAGCATCCTTGATTGAAGGTAGGGAGTTGGTGACTTTAGTCGAGGAGCCAACTCACTATTCTGTACCGAATTTACTTTGGTAGTGGAGGTTTTGTTCGTTAGGGCCTCAATCTGTTTACTCCGGTGGAGGTTAGTCGCCCGCTAGAGACTCGGATTGAGAGGGTCAGAAGACCTTTAGTCGAGACTTCAGGCTGTTTAAGAACCTTCCGCAGTATAACTATCATAGAAACTGAACTTGGTAATTACAATCCGGCTTAACTGCAGTCTAGGGGGAACCATATCCGGGTGACCTCTCTTAACCTGAAAACAACCGTTTAGTTGCTTTGCTTGTTTGTTAGTTTAGACTTGCATTAAAGTTTCATTGCTAGATAACAAGAATTCACCGAGTAGTCATCAAATCTAGGACCCGGGTTGACATTAAAACCCAAACCCGCTATACTACGCTTTAGGAAGTGGTTACACTTGGCCAATTCCTAGAGTGACAGTAGAAGTGAGTCAGCTACCTAGTCATCCAACCATCTATTCTAATTCACAAAGCAACATGCATTGCAATTGTAATCAACAAGTAATCGAGTCGGAACATCCATTCATTTTTCCACACATGAGAACTAAACCTTTGCACTATCCTAATGGACCTCTCAGTCATCATCATAGGACATACTCGATCACATGCAACAATTCAAGGTTAAAGCCAATAGACACGAAATTCTCCCACAAACCGACCACTTTGATCATGTAAACATTGCTTGGAGCCCTCAGATTATCAAAATTTGGGCAAACATCAAGACTCCAAGCATCAATCACACTCACACAAGCATAATAATAAACTACCCCTGATAACATCGTATTTGCACATGTTTGCACCCTCATTTCTTGATCATTTTGGCTTGAGTTTTTGCTTTCTTGGACTATTTTACGCTAGGTTGTGTTCCTTTGTCACATTTCAGGTCATAGCATGTAAATTGAAGCATAGGTGAAAGTTTCAAGTCAATTGGAGATCATTTGGCAATTCGGGAGAAGAAACACGAGCATGACCTGAGGAATAATGGACTTCTACCTCATATTATGGACAAATAATCATAGAATTTTGTTATGAAAAGAAAGAGTACAAGACTACGAGCGTTTGGGATCAAACGGCGACTGATTGGGAGTCTGGACGAGGGAGAAACGAAGCATTAAACAGGGGCAGAGGAAGAATTGCGGTCAGGAGAATTACGACCGTATTTTCCCCTCCCATGCCTGTATTTTCACTGCCGAGAGGAGCTTTGGATGCGCTGAAACTTAACCAAAACGCGTATTTTGGGCAAAATACCGGCATGGAAGAATTACGGCCGTATTTCTGCCCGTATTTCGCCCAGAATCGAGTTTTTGAGGCAGATTCCAGCCAAAGGAAAGCGGAAGCTGGGTTTTGGTTCACAAACACCGAAGGGAAGAACCCTAGAGAGAGAGAGCGACTTGGGAACATTATTGGAGCTATTTTGGAGGATTTCTTCACCATTAGAGCTCGGGAATCAAGCTTGGAGATGGAGATTGAAGATCTAGATCAGATTTCTGCAATCTCTCTCTTCTCTATGGAGTAACTTCCCTTCACTTAGGTTTTGAGGAACTCTAGTTCCATATGTTAGGATCTTTCTTATATGAAGTTTTGGATGCTATATTGTTTGATTATAATCGATTAAGGCATGATTTATAGAGTCAATTGAAGCCTGATCATCTTCTCTTGATTTCTACTTTAACCTATGATAGATAGAATCTGATTAGGTTAAGAGAGCTTCCTTGATTGATATTGGTGAATTGGTTGTGCGAGAATCAATCAATTCACTGCTTTGTACTGGAATTCATTCCAGTAGTGGAGATCTGTGTGAATCACCTTAGCAGTCTATCCAGGTGAAGGCTAGTCGCCTGTCGGGTATTCTGTCGAAGAGGGCTTGGTCAGCTTAAGAGATTCCAAGCTAATTTAGGATCTTCCGTAGTTTAATCAACAGTAGATTAACCAAAGGTAATTGCAACTTGTACCTAATTGAGGAGCTAGGGGGAATCATACCTAAGTGATTTCCCAACTTGTAATTAGTAGAGTACTTAGTAGAGTAGTTTAGTAAATCAATCCTTAATCTAGTTTGCTCTGAAGCTGAGTAATAGTAACTCTAGAGACCCGTAGTGCAATCCCTTTCATTGGTTACACTTAATCAGACAGTAGATTAACCAAAGGTAATTGCAACTTGTACCTAATTGAGGAGCTAGGGGGAATCATACCTAAGTGATTTCCCAACTTGTAATTAGTAGAGTACTTAGTAGAGTAGTTTAGTAAATCAATCCTTAATCTAGTTTGCTAGATAATGAACTGAAGCTGAGTAATAGTAACTCTAGAGACCCGTGGATTCGATATTTATTACTTGTGCCACTATACTGCAATCCCTTTCATTGGTTACACTTGGCCATTGTTATGTGTTGTGTCGTAGCGTGTCAAGTTTTTGGCGCCGTTGCCGGGGACTTTCTAGATTATTTTTTGTTGGTGCAGATCTGAATCATGGATCCTAATGGCTTCTCTAACCAGTGGGGGTATCCACCACCATCTGAGTGGTATTACCCCGAGACTTCCTGGAGCAATCAAGGAGGAGAGGACTATGGATTCGGGTCCCAGTACCAACCCCCTTACTACGGAGAACAATCAGACCCCTGGGCATATCAAGAACAACCTACTTATCCAGAAGAATTCCTCCCACAACTAGAAGGGCCATCATATCTTGATTTAGCCACAACCCTCACGCGCCATCCGGCAGAGCCATGCTACACTCCACAGCCAGATCCAAACTATCACTTGAGGCTTCTCGTGGAGCAGATTGCTCGAGTACCTGAGAGATCCTTTCCCGAGATGGACTTCTTGTAATTAGATAACGAACTGAAGTGAGTTCCCAACTTGTAATTAGATTTCTCGAGTACCTGAGAGATCCTCCCACAACTTGGACCTAATTGAGGAGCTAGGGGGAATCATACCTAAGTGAGCTCCCAACTTGTAATTAGTAGAGTAGTTTAGTAAATCAATCCTTAATCTAGTTTGCTAGATAATGAACTGAAGCTGAGTAATAGTAACTCTAGAGACCCGTGGATTCGATATTTATTACTTGTGCCACTATACTGCAGTCCCTTTCATTGGTTACACTTGGCCATTGTTAGGTGTTGTGTCGTAGCGTGTCAACCCCCCACACTTAAACTCGACATTGCCCTCAATGGCGTAAGATAGGGGTAGAACAATGTTACAGCTTGCTTGGTGAGTGAAAGTTGGAATTGTTTCCGGGGTAGGAGATTTGGAGCTTCAAGGAGAAGACAAAAACACACATACACAAACATAATACGACTCACGCAAGGCGAGGTTATTACACACACAATACGATAGTAGTAGTAGTTTAAAGTCACAAACACATAAAAGAAAGAAAAATAAGAAAATTGAGTTTAGAGTTACAAGTGTAGTAGTGGGGCGAAAAATCGACTCTGCCACATATCTCCCATGTCGGCTACCTCTCACTAGGTCGAAGGCCCCAACTCATCATTTGGAATGAGACCCTGGCGACTAGCCATCTGCTCAAGGAGGTCGGTCTACCGGTTGAGGCGGGAAGTCACTCCCACAAACTGAGTCTCGAGGTGATCCATCCTCTGGACGAGGGGATCACCGGCTGCTCTGGATGATGAAGCTGCGGCTGGTGGTGGTATAGGGCGCTGGATCGCGGGACGCCGGTGACAACTGGGTGCTCCAGTAGGTGGCTGCTCTGCGGGTGGAACCCCTGCATCTGGCTCCACTGGAGCCAGGTCAACTGCTTGGTGCATGGCTCCCAAAGGTTGGAGCCTGTCGAGGTATTTGATCCCCCTCTCCTGAAGTACCAGCTACTGGTTATAGAGTGTAGCCATTGGGAAGGACTCGGTCCTCCCGACGATGGAGCATCGCTCCACATCCACTCCAAATTGGCGGGCAATCCTCGTGACGATGACCCCCCCATGTGCATGGTGTCCACCCTGTTCCACCCCAAACACCGGGAAAAAGAGGTGGCTATCAGTGATCCCAGATGGATTGGCTCCGCAGGATGCCTCATGGAGAAGAGAGCCAGAAGCCATCATGGAAATCGACGGTGTACTGCCGCTCCGTCATCGTCAGGTCGGTCGGGTCGAGCCCCATGGCCTGGGCGAAAGCATCATAGGTCAACACTCGGGGCTGACCTCCCAACATGAACTCCACATATGGCCGGCTCCTCTTGCCGGTCGGGACTACATGGAAGAATGTGGAGTAGAAATCCACGCATAGCTTGTGGTAGATAGCTCGTCCATGGTGAGCAGTAGGCGCCACTGGGGATGACAGATGACCCCTGACATTGCGGCTCGACACCTGAACATGTTAAACATGTCCAGGTCCCACTGCCAATGTGGCCCGACCGGGCTATTCCTCTAGTAGGAGAATTTGTCGCCTAACCTCGCATGGTACACCAGGTAACTAATGAACTCGCGCTCCTCGTTAAGCATCTTGCAGAATTTGGCAAACAAACACCATAGGTAGAAACATTCGTTAAGCACAACTCATTGGGAGGAAAAAGAATTCCCCCCCCCCCCCCCACCCACACACACACACATGTATCTCCACTATGGATTTCAAACATCTAAGTTCAACACTATTTCACGGTTCATCTACACAAAAAAAAAATTTTGAACCCCAACCCATGCCACGGTGGCTACCATCCACCATTCAAGCATAACAATGCACATTCATTCAAAAATTAGCACTTAGTGGACAAAATCTACAAATGAAAGCAATTCGAATCAACAAATGCCCACCAAGGCTCACTAAGCTCATGCAAAGTCAATCATCCTAATTCACCTAATTCCTCACTGTAATTCTAAGTTCAACATTCAAGGCACTAAAATTCTCCTCACTTCACTACCTAAGCCGATTCTCCCAAATCAATAAATAAGGTAGAGCTGGAAAACCAACCTGGAGAGACAAGTAGGACGTATGAGGAAGTGAGGTGAGGGCAAGGAAGGCGGAAAAACAGCCTGGAGAAGGGTCGTCGGTGCTTCGTCAGAAGCTCACCGAACTCTCGTCGGAGGCTCACCGGCGACGACTTCATTAAAAATGTTTACTCCAAATCCTCCCAAAATCCAGGCGAAGGCCGCCTTTGATGAGGGAAGAATGAGTCTGAAGTTTGATTTGGGTTTTTCACGCCAGAAGCGGGTGAAATTGCTTGAAAACCGTAGGAGATTTGCGGTTTTCCAGCGAGTTTATTGGATAGTGAAGCGAAGGGTCAACGTTCACGCCCCTTTTATAGACGACACTAGTAGTTCACGGACACGTTTGCCAGTTCATGATCGTTAAGACCTTGAACACAACAATGCGGCAGTGAACTATGGGTGGTCGACAACTGGCACGCTCGTGGAAGAGCCATGTTTACGGACGCGTTTGCTTGTTCAAGGTCTTGTATTACCGTGAACTGGCCAATGCATCCGTGAACCTCATCTAAAACAGGGCACTTCTGGAAAAAAATGGACTCGACCTAATCCACTGTGCCTTCTATCGATCACGACACAACCTCAAAACGCAAAACCACAAAACGTGTCAAGGGGATACCACTCGATCACTAGAACTCTTCATTCGATACACAAAAACGAAAATAAGGAAAAGAAAACAAACCTACGTTGGGTTGCATCCCAACATGCGCTAAGTTAACGTCACTAGCTTGACGTTGCAGATCTATCATGTTTTGGAATATGATGCCACCGAGAGTGGATCCGCTACATTCTCGGGGCGAGGCATGTAGCCTCTCAACTTGGGAAAAGTTAATCTGCTAACTTGAAGATTCGTTAGCAGATACTAACTGATATCCAAAATACATGAACTAGTAGTATCCATGTACTAAAGTATCTAGAGAGCACAGACTAGTATTCAAAGTTTGCTAACTGATATCCACCATGAATCAACTATTATCCCATATTCACAAACTAATATCTAGACAACACAGAATAGTATCCATATAGCACATAATTAATATCCAGATAACACATAAGAGTATCCAGATAACATATAAGAGTATCCATATTGAATACTAGTTGGTTGTTTGTGGATATTAGTTGGTATCTGCTATTTGGATACTAGTTTGTGATGTTTTGAATACTAGTCTGTGCTATCTAGATATTCAGCAGACTTGGCTATTAATTCATACATTTTGGATATTAGTTAGTATATACTAACGAATCTTCTAGTTAGCAGAATAACTAGGTTGTCTCAACTTAAGTTCCATGGGGTGGCCTTCTTGGCCGACGACCTTAGCTTTGCCCTTCTCCTTCCTTCGGACTAAATTTGGCTTCATCTTTTCCCTCCAAGCTTTCTTCTTCCTTTCTTTGGGCTTAGTACCCTCCTTAACTTCCTGCTTAACATCACCACAAGAAACAAAATTAATAGTGGGGTTTGTCTTGAGAGGCTCTCCTCCACTCACATTCAAGTCATCCGATACAAATTCCTTCACATCCTCACTTCTAGCCTTAGGTTCAATTTCAAGAGTGATCCTCTCCTCACCATCCCTCAGAATCAAGGTCCCCTCATTAACATTAATTAACGCCTTGGCGGTGGCAAGGAAGGGACGTTCTAGTATGAGTGGCATGTCTGAATCCTCACTTATATCAAGGATCACAAAATCCGTCGGATAGCAAAACTTGCCTACTCGTACTAACATGTCCTCCACAATGCCCCTAGGCTTAATGACCGAGCGGTCGACTACCGTGACACTAAGCTTGATGGTCTTGAGTTCACCTAGGTCTAACCTTTTTAAAAGCTTATAAGGCATCACATTGACAATCGCTCCTAAATCCTCCAAGGCATTTTCTATGTGATAGTTACCAATACTAAGAGGGATAGTGAAGCTACCAAGGTCGGGTCGCTTCTTAGGAAACCGGTTGAGGATGAAAGCCGAGCACTCTTCGCCTAGAGTCACGTTGGCGAGGTCTTCAAACTTCGGTTTCTTCGTGAGGAATTCGTTGAGTTACTTTGCATACCTTGGAATGTGAGCCATAGCTTCAAGGAAGGAGAAGTTGAGGTGGAGATTTTGGAGCATCTCCAGGAAGCCTCCACATTCCGCTTCCAACCTCTCCTTGTACACCCTTGTGGGGAAAAGAAGAGGTGGCTTGTACTCATCCACCGGAGATGGCAACGGCGATGCCTTCCTTTCCACTTCTTTCTCTCCCCTCGAGGGCTCTTCATCTCCATCCTTGGGGTTGGAGTCTTCCTTCTCAATCACTCCCTTGGCAACAACTCCCGGAGTCACCTTCCCACTTCTCAACTGAATCGCATTCACCCCGGCATGATCTTTGGGGTTCGCCAGAGTTTGAGAAGGTAGAGCTCCCTTTGGTCTCTCGGTGAGGATCCCGAAAAGATTGCCAATTTGCACCTCCAAATTTTGAAGGATTTCTTGATGGCTTCGGAGTCCCGCCTCAACCGAGGTAAACTTGGTAGTCGCCACTTCCATAAATTGCTCAGTCTTATTGAACTTTTGAGCACTCATGCTCACAAAGGTATTCACAAGGTCTTCAAGTTTGGACAACTTGTCGGGTTGTTGTTGTTGTTGAAGCCCTTGACCACTTTGTGCTTGGGAAGGTTGTTGGAAGCTCGAGTTTTGGAATTGAGGCCTTTGTTGGATGAAAGTTGGCCGATGTTGATAATTTCCCGTAGGGACTTGGAAACCAGGGGGTCTCGGATTAATCGGGGACGACCAAGCAAAGTTAGGATGATTTCTCCACCCGGGATTATAAGTATTGCTATACGGGTTGTTCCCCCTAGCGTCGGCAATGAAATTTACTTGTTCCTCTGGAGTGCTTTCTTCCTTCATTGCTTGGCAATCCTCCATCTCATGGTTAGTGCTTGAACACCAATCACAAGACATCACCGCTCTCTTCCCTTGCTTCTTGTCCTCCAGGATTACCTCGATCAACTTGTCAAGCTTCGCTTCAAGTGGAGCACTTGCTCCCACACTTCGCACTCCTCTTTCATTGCTTCTCTTCCCACTTCTCGACAAGCCCAAATCGTATCCTTTAAGAGCCATATCTTCGAGCAA